AAAATCGCCTGTAAGATGGCAGTCGGCACCAATGCTAACAAATAGAAATAGTGCAATAACGCCGTCTTCGCGTTCTGAATATTCAAGCTGGGATTACAGTGTTTGATATCGTTTGCGGGCACTTCGCGAGAAAACACAAGTATAATCACGCGAGACAGATTTCATCGCAAGAGAATAACGCTCGTCCCTGATTAATAAATTATAAATCCGAAGTACAAAAATTGACACATGGCGCCGAAGAGACGGAATCCTCCGGATTCGATATTCTATATCGCCCATACTTGGGAGTATCTGAATTCTCACTTTTGTGCTATAATCCTGGTATAAACCTTTAATTAGCATCCAATAAATGCAATCACAGAACAACAGAATTACTCTGCCCCTTCTCGACTTTGATAACTTATGGTACCAACGCAGAGATGGTTGGCAGATGCCACGACCCCCTACTTTATCCTAACGCGTCAGTATATCTTTTCAGTTATTTCAGCCAACAAAACCATTCCAAATACGCAAATAAATTCAAACGGAAATCCTCTTCCGTAAGCTTCAAAATATAGCAAACTGATGACGTAGGAACGCATCACTCATGCGTAGCGAACCGGCCGTGAGCGAACTGTATTCAGTAAACTATGCTATCACAATGTGCTTTTAGTGTCGAATCACAGAACTAAAATATCTGCTGACTCATTTTCCGTCTTTTTTATATTTATATTGCAGCAATCAATTCCGACTTTTTAGTAACAGTGTTAAATTGGTCAGGAGCCTCGATGACCTTCAACGGTCCTGCATACTGGCCAACACAAAATATAGTGTAAATTGGTCTAATACTATAAAAATTGTCGATATTGTTTTATACTGTTTTTCATTGTTTTCCTTATAGCCTAACTCTGTAAAAATTATCGATATTATTTAATATTGTTTTTTATTGTTTGTGGAAATAAATCTCTCTTATTCTCTCTCTAGTTGCTGAAGTGATTAAGTTTCACACTGAAGATGACTATTAGAAAAGTTGGTCTGTAAAATAATACTTTTGACAAATTCCATGTAATCACAGAAAACTATTGGGGGAGGGCATGTTTTGTTGAGAACTCAAAATGAGCGCGCAAAAAAAACCTCATAAGCCAACGATTTTAACAAGTACAAAAGCCTCATGATTTGGAATGTTTGAAACAAAAAGCCAAGAAAAATCTCAAAAAGTCAAACAGAAATTTTGACGCCAAACGTGTTTCAAAACGTGCCAAAATTGTGAAATTTGTCGGTAAAAAAGTCATCATGGTAACCCCGGACTGCCCCGATACGCGCGAGAATAGCCAAATAAAAACGGTTGGGATTGGACGCTTCCCTATAATCGATTTTATATTTGTAATAATGACCAATCAATAATAAGTCAACATGGCGTACAATTGCAAACTGTTCAGTCGACACTTGTATAGCTCAGACGGATATTCGGGCATGATTGTAAACCTCCCCCGTTTTCGTGGTTTTGCGTGTTATTTGTCAATTTTCCATTTCGTTTCAAAAAAAAGTTGTAAATCAAATATCTTAGTTGTCATTCTATCTTCCGAGTGTCTTTACTTTAGTTGCAATAATCAAAATTTAGTTCTAGAATCTCTACGATGGACTAGGCTGATTACATATTAGTACTTGAAAGCAGCATGTAGTAGGAATTTATTTTGTAGGTTTTGATGAAGTAGTCACTAAAAGACTGAACCAGAATGGAAGAATTGAATAAAATTTCATCCGCGATTACGTTGCGCCATTGATTTTACTAAAAGATCGAACCCACGAAGGAAAGGGGGATGAAATATTAACCAGTGTTAGGTTGTGCGCCTCGAATAGAAGAAGAGTATAAAATTGCTTTCGGAAAAGGTGGTGTGGTTGAAGTCACTACAAAAATGAACATTAAAAGAAGAATTGAATGAAATTTTTCTCGGCCGAATATCGGGTGAATGTAGTCACAGAAAGACTGAACCCAAAAGAAGGACTTGGATAAAAAAATTTTTTGACAAAAGGTTCGACTACTGAAGTATGAAGCTTAAAAAAAAAGTGGGCCTATTTTTTTCCGTATGAGTGAGGTAATTAAAAGGAAATCCAAAAAGCGATATTTACTTGGAAAAAGTGAAATTTTTGTTGTCGAAGGACAGTTGATATCACTTTCATCAGAATCGAATTCACTTCACTTTGTTTATCTCAGAGACTATTTACGACTGACCCGCGGGTGACAAAGTTGACAATCGTTTTTTTTTTCAGAGACCGTCAAGTCACGCATAATTGCAATAAATGTGAAATGATTTCAACCATAAAAATTGAAATGAGGCCGTTGACAATACAATCTGATAATAAGTGAAATGCTCCCTCCATATGTAGGCCTATGCGAATTCATGGTATCACATATGGTTTGTTTCTGACGCTTAGCACGATAAAGAAAAAAGCTATAACGAAAAAATTACATATTTATCTCGGTTGAGAGAAAAGGCGAAAATAAAGCCTCATCAAATGGCGAACCACGGGCCTCTCGTTCGGTTACCAATCCATGTCGAGTATGGGATTAGTTGGTTATTTGTTTTCGGAAACATGGACCTGATGGTGGAGGAAGTCGTAACCGACCAGCGTTTACGTAAACCACAATACGGCAGCGAGGAGTCCAGCAATCCTCTTGCACATAACCATCCCCGCATAAGATTCGAACCTGCGAACCCACGAAGAGTAATCAGAGGTGCGATGGCATGCGTATTCCTAACGCTTAGCGCGATGAGCCACACTGTCATCTACTACTGATACCCACCTTTTTAGTCATCTACTGCGACTCTCAGCGACAAATGAAAATAATATTACACGATGCTCATATAAATTTAAGTAAAAAGCACTTTAATTAAATTAATCCTAAGACCTAAAGCAAAATGTTGCCCATCTACACTGGCGGGCCATATAAGTGTGACGTATAAAGATACATTTTATGAACAACATTTACATTGTTACAAAAGAAAAGACGGAAACAATAAGCTTTGTGCCAAAACTAAATTTAATCGCAATCTCAACAAATTCCTTGAGCTATTTCAAAACAAAACATAAAAATTTGGTTTTAGCTGTGTTGTGGCAGCATCAGGCGGGCCAGATTGAATTACCAAACGGGCCGTAGTTTGCCCATGTCAGGTCTATTTACGGTTCTAGTGTCTATTCAATTTTAATCTCAAATTGCCATGTTTTTTTTTTGCTCAATTCATTTGTTGTAGTGCGTGATTTTATTTCATAATTTTCTGAAAACAAAGTATCTGACGGAAGAAATGTTGTGGCATATGTTTTGTTCAACGTGGAGTTTTCCGCTACAATGAAAACAGTGTTCCCTTCATGGGATTTTTGGTCTTGCAAACAGTAGATCGATGGTTCATGTTCCCTTTCAGCCTTTGTAGGTTGTTCTGCTGTGCTGATGGCGATGCGATCTCCCTCGGCAATGGATAGGATAGGATAGGATTTACATATTTATCCCGGGGGAGAGGAAAGCCGATAAGACGGCTTATCCATATGGCGAACCACGGCCTCTCGTCCGGTTACCATTCCAAGTCGGGTATGGGATTAGTTTTTACTGTATTGTTTGTTTTCGGAAGCATGGACTTGGACAATGGACAATGAAGTAGTGAAAACTGTGTGTTTTGGTTTGAATTTCGCAAAAAAGACTACCGGTATGTATTTGTAATGTCATTGTTATAAGATATGTTAACCTAAGACAGTAAGTATTGTAAACACACACAGAAAGTAGGTACAGAGGTACCGGTACGGTACGCCACCCGTTGTTCGCTGTAAGCAAACAAACGGTAGTCTGGATTTCTCGATTGCTGATTGTTGAGCGTTTATTCTGTTATTGTAGTGTGCCAATCCAGGCAATTCTTTCGAAAACGTCTTACTAGCCTACCCTTAGTCTGTTAGTGGCTAGCATTGCCTTTTGATGGAATGATTCGGATATTCATTTCGTTTTTTAGTAAAAAAAAATTGTCACTGTGTTATTTTTGCAATATAATTGAAGTAGGCCCACAACATCATCATTTTTTGTCAGCGAGTGTTCTTTAATCCATATATCTGTATAGGAAAAGCACATACACGTCTCACATTTTAATTTGAATTTATAAGATATTGCCCGATGTCGCATCGTGTTTTTGTTTTATTGTGTTTTGCCTGTTTTTGGGGGACGGGCACGTACTTGTACGTACCGGTATTTAACTTTTTTATTAAGTTATACCGGTACCCGTCCTCCAGGTCCTCTGTATTTTGTTTGTCCCTTTGTTGTTGTTTTGTGTTTTGTTTGTATCAGAGTGACCGAATAAAATTGATTGATTGATTGATTGATTCGTCGTGCTTAAAATATTGTACACGCAAAACTAAGCAAACATAATAATAAAAGTATAAAATAAACAAACATACAATATTTCCGCAATTGACGCGGGGCCGCGAAAGATATTAAGTAGTCTAAGTCATCATGTCAGCGACACCTTGAAAACATGAAACATATACGGTACTGATATACATCTGTACATAGGTACGGTACTAGTGTATTACAGAGTTGCTCTTCGTAATGGGTGTATGTTGTAACCAGATTTCAATTTTATTCACAAATGCTTGTATAACTGTATAACATCTTTATTATGTCAGTATGTCTGTAGGTTCATATTTCAGTATTTATACAGTACTGCAGTATGAATAAACGGTGACCGTACATTTGAACCCATGTGCATTTGAACCCATGCGTATATCCACAGGTTCAATCTATATGCGGGTGCTAAAACCCATGGGTTAGGGTTAGTATGGGTTTAACTATCCGTGAAACAAAAAAAATTCCATAGGTGCAATAGCATACAGGTGCAATTGTCATGGGTTCAAATGTACGTGGGTTCAAATGTAATGGAACCTGAGTAAACAGATATTATGACATATAGGCCTATATCCAGTCTACAGATATATGCTTTGCGATTTTATATTTACATTTTATGTATGTTCATATATATTTACTGTGACTGTGATAATTCTGGTATAATATAATGGTAGTTATGTTATCATAGTTTTGAGAGTAATATCACACAGATTCACACCTTCCTTGTATTTGAAATGCTATCTTGTCTTATTAACCAGAAGTGTGATACTACAGTACTACAGTAATATGGATGTTTAACCCCAGAGAGTACCAATTCCCTTGTTTTTTTCAGTAACAATGGCCAATCTGCAATAAGTCAATAACGACGTAACAATTAGAATTTACAGATTTATGCGACCGCTCAGACACTAGTTTTGCTCAGACAGATATTCAAGCATGGTTGTATACATTGCCTCGTTTTCATTGTTTTGCGTGTTATTTGCCAGTTTTCAGTAGTCTTTTCGAAAAGTAGTTTAAATCAAACTTAATTGTCATTATGTTCTTTATGGGAAGCTTTAGTTTAGTTGCAATAATCACAAATTTGTCCCGCAAATACTGCAATAGACGAGGCTAAAACTGTCAGTACTTGCATGCGGTTGAGCACTTTTAACAAAAATAATGATTTTGAAAATGTAGACCAGTTTATAAGCGCTAACCCTCCAAAATACTCTCAAAATAAGCTTACAGAATTTTTCCATAGTAAAGTATAAGAAAAAATTTTCTGGGTAAAAGGTCGGGGAAACATCCCTATATACTGATGATTACTGGAGTATAGCACTGCTTTGATCAAAAGAATCATTTGCAGCAATATCGTTCTGCAATTCTGATGTGCAAAAATATTAGTAAATGCTAAAAAGTTAACATCCAATAAAAAAAGATTTATTTTATCACTTTTTAAAAACTTCAGATTAGCATAAATGATATAGCTACTGTTTGTCATTGTTGAGAATGGCATACATACAATGGCGGCGTTTCAATTTCTTCAATAAAGAAGTAATAGAAAGCAATGCTACTGGAAAAACGTTCGACATGATTAAAGATGCAAATTTACAATGTTGCACGTGCGGTCGTGGTTTTCTTATTTTTGGCGATGATACTGGTCATATTCATATCGTGAATCACAATTTTCAAGTTCAATCATTTCAAGCATATCGGATCAGTGTTTCACATCTATTTCAAGTTATTCAGCATAATGTTTTGGCTTCCATCGGCATCGATGAAGAGGGTGTTAACCCTGTTATCAAAATATGGAACATGGATAAAAGAGATAAATCAGGTGATCCTTTTTGCTCCAGAATTCAGGCTGCTATTCCCAATAACTTGCCGAGTGATGTGTCTGCATTCTCTGTTCTGTCAAACTTAAGCATGATGGCTGCTGGTTTTGCTCAAGGTAGCATTGTATTGTATAAAGGAGATGTTTTGAAGGATAGACATGGCAACAAAACAATAATACTGGAAACCGGGCAAGGGGGGCCAGTCACTGGTCTGTCATTTCGATATGGTGAGAAAGATTCCTATTTGTTTGCAACGACTCATACTACGGTATTATCATATGCAGTATCAGATAAATACTCAAAAATGCATACGTTGGAAGATCAAGGATGCCCAATGTTTTGTACTGCGATATCTAACAGTGTACTTGATAATCAATTTCTTGTTGCTGCAAGTGATGCTGTATACGCTTATCAGCCTGACTCAAGGGGCCCTTGTTTTGCTTTTGATGGTGACAAAGTTTTAGCTCGCTGGTATCACGGATATCTAATCCTTGTCTACAAGGACAAAACCAGAGCGGGAGTCTCGTCCAGTGCATTGCGACCGACAACTGAAAAGAACATGCTCACAATTTATGACATGAATCAGAAAATCATTGCTTATTCTCATGCACTACCAGGGGTCAAAGATGTTTTATATGAATGGGGATCTATCTATGTGCTAACAGCGGACAATGTATTAGTGTGCCTGCAAGAGATTGATATTCATAGTAAACTTGAAGTACTTTTTAAGAAGAATCATTACTCTTTGGCAGTAAATATGGCTAAAAATCAAAACCTTGGAGAAGAGGGCTTGATGGAGATTTTCCACCAATATGGTAACCATTTATACAGCAAAGGTGATTATGACGGTGCAATACATCAGTATGTTAAAACAATTGGTCATCTGGAGCCATCTTACGTGATAAGAAAATTTCTTGATGCACAGCGTATTCATAATTTGACAACATATTTACAGGCAATGCATGAAAAAGGGGAGGCGAATGAGGACCACACTACGTTATTATTGAATTGTTTTACAAAATTGAAGGATAGTGAAAACCTGAATAGATTCATCATGGGCCCTGAAACCAAGCATAAATTTGATGTAGAAACAGCCATAAGAGTTTGTAGACAGGCTGGATATTATGAACATGCATTAAAACTGGCGGAAAAGCATCAAAAGCACACCTGGTATCTGAAAATTCAGTTGGAAAACACCAAAGATTATAAACAAGCTCTCGCGTACATACGAAAACTACCCTATGAAGAAGCAGAAATTAACATGAAGAAATATGGTAAGCTGTTGATGAAGAATGTCCCAGCAGAAGCAACAGAGTTATTGAAAGCCCTTTGTACAGATTACAAGCCAAGTAATATGCCACTGGTGAATGAGGATGATTATGAGAGTTTTGGAAATGTTTCAAATAAACATGCTAATGTAGAAGAGTTCATACATATATTTGTCAACAACTCGGAAAGACTGGTTGCCTTTCTACAACATATCATCAAAGTTGAACCTCAATCTTCAGAGCTTGTATACAATACACTGTTGGAATTGTATCTTCACCAAATGACACATCCCAATACAACCTCAGAGGAAAGACGAAGAATAGAAGATCAGACCTTGGATTTGTTAAAAGAATTCTCATCTCTAGATTATGATACAGACCAAGCACTAGTGCTATGTCAAATGCATTGCTTCAGGCCTGGCATTCTGTTCTTATATGAATCTGCAGCACTTTATCAGCAGATATTGAGGTATCATATGGACCATGAGGCCATGGGATTGGTTGTTGAAACCTGTAGAAAACATGGGTCAAAAGATCCTTCATTATGGCAGCAAGCTCTAACTTTTTTTGCCCGACAAGAGGATGTCAAATGTGAAGAACATATTATGCAAGTTCTGACTCATGTGGACAAGAATAATCTCCTTCCTCCTTTGCTGGTCATTCAACTGTTGTCCAGAAGTTCTACAGTCTCATTATCAGTCATCAAGGATTATATTCTAAGACGATTGCAGAAGGAAACCGAAGAAATAGATCAACACGAGAAAGTCATTCAACAATGTCAAGAAGATACAAAGAAAATGAAAGAACAAATTGAGGAATTGAAAACGACTGCTACTATATTTCAAGTGACCAAATGCAGTTTATGTAATCATGATCTCGAACTGCCATCTGTTCATTTTCTCTGCAAACATTCCTTTCATCAGCATTGTTTTGAAAGTTATTCAGAAAATGATCAGGAATGTCCAGTCTGCGCAGGCGAAAATCGTAAAATTTTGGAACATATGAGAGAACAGGAACAAGCTCTTTTAAATAACAGAAATCTCTATGATCAATTTTCTTCTCAAGTTCGTCAGTCAAGAGATGGTTTTTCTATTATTGCTGATTACTTTGCTCGTGGGGTATTTAACAAAGTTACTCTTGTTACCGAGTCAAAGGTCAGGGGAAACAGTGCAACCGCAAATCCTTTTGAAGCTAGTTCAGGCTCAAATCCTTTTGAAGATTCAGGGAGTCTCATTGATGTCAGCCTTCAGAGAGAACTGAAAATGATGCAACAAGCAAACAGATGAAATGATCTTTTATTTAAACTTTCTTAATTTATATTCCTATTTCACTAAAATCTCATCTGCATTATAGAAATAGAAATGTATGTATTGTCATTAATCAAACCTCTATTCAAATATTGTTTTCTCTTGCTATTTTTGTGAGAAGCGGTGACATACATTATGCTGCTTTTATGATAAACTGCATATTGAATAATTCCTATTGCTGTTGTCTGTACTTATCGTACTTCACAGTCAATCAAGTCCTATGATAAGAATGAACACTTTTCAATAATGGACTGATAATCTATTGGTTTCGTAGTTCCTGTTTATCTATTCTCCCAGTCTGTGAACAAATAAAAACCTTGTAATTTACATATATCTATATGTGTTATAACTTACATGTATATTTATTAATTGAATGCTTCAGTTATGTTGTACTCATGTCATTGTTTGTGATCGTTTGTTCCATTTATCATTTGTATGATTTACCCAATGAGCATTATTCGATGCAATATTTAAATTTATCAATTTTTTTTATCAGGTCTTTTAAACTTACATAAGTTCCGATCTTAAATACGGTACTTTGGCAAAATGATGGAAGAAGTGTCTCATCCTGTGGAATCAGGTACATTGACCCCTCCCCCTACTGCACCACCTGTTGTATCTTCTACCAGTCCACCAACTCAAGTTGGAATGACACCACCACCCCAAGCCCCTATGTCTTATTCCGCATCACCACCAAGTAGCTCCTATACTCCAACTTCTGCTCCACTTCAGGGAACTGCTTATCCTTCTCCAATGGTTCAGAATCCTGCTCCACCCACCTATCCCACTTCAAATTATCAAGGTACTCCAGAAGCATCCACTATCATGTTGCCGGACATGCCTGAATATAACACAGATCAAGAAAATAGGGTCAGTAGAATTTTTTGCATTTTTATGGTCAAAATGGTCATCATTGCAGTCATGGTTTCGAGTTGGAATATTTTAAAGTATAGTTCATGTGTGTGTGATTTTGGGGATTATCATTTGCACACATAATGACATGCATGCACATGGAATGTTTAGCTATTCCTGACTTGGTCTGATATTCAGATAAGAATCCTATATGTACTCTCATCTCATATTTGGATTAGAGACCATAGTTCATCAATTGATTGTGCCATCTTATTAAATTTCTCTAGGAAGAGATATGATGTTTCCTTGTGTTATATTTCATGTTCATTTTCAGTAACATAAGTAATTTTGGACCGTTTAATAATTATTTACTAATTGAATTTTGTTGCCTTATCAGGGCGATTCTGGTTCAGCTGGAGGTATGTGGGGATGGTTCAGATCTGCTTCACAGAATACCTTCGTACAATCCGTTGTCGAAAAGACAAAGACTGGTGTTGATCGGATGATAACAACGCTTGATCCTGGGATGACACCATATCTTAGACAGGGTGGTGACATTTCTGTCATTGTTGCATCAGAAAAAATGGTTAAGTGGGGTGCCGTGAGAGATGCATTTCAGGTAATTTGAAGTTAGGCTCATTTACAATGGTCCTATGAATGGACATTAATGTCAGTAATATGTTACTTTAAACCATTTTCTGCCTATGTTGGATCAACTGGTGTTAGATTGGTAACTTTTATGGTTCATCATCATATTTGCTTTTGCTAATTTAACCCTTACTTCGTTCTAACTTCCAACTATGAAATTTTTTTTATTTTATTTTATCTGATGACTCTCTATTAATGTCATTGTACACAGAGGGTTTTTGGAACAGCTAATGTGAAGGGGATTCCAGCTCAGTCAGGTGTGGCTCCACAGCCTGTTGGATATGCTGCAGGATTAAGAGGTTTGGACTAATTGAGTCTTTAATTTGAAATAGAAATACTATCGAGTCTAATGTTTATCAACATCGAGTAAATACTTATTTGTGTTTCTCAATTGGTAATATTACGTAGGTTTTGATGGATAATAATATTATAATTGAAAAATTAAAAATCATACCATGCCATGCACCTAAAACAGGTTATCTACTTACAATGTACTTTTTATCACGATTCCTGAGGCTTCTTCAAATAGAGCACCCTATGAATTTAACTGCATCACTCTGCTTTATAGGTGCCCGTGACCGTATCAGCTACCTCCGCAGGTCAGGACTGGTGGATGAAAGGCAGCTTTGTGTGGCAGTTGAAAGCTTTATTGCTGAGTTACTGCCTGATAAGTGGTTTGATATTGGGTAAGGTTATATCCTGATTTTGCTAAGAATACATGTTTTAATAATGTTATTTTTCTGATGTATAATTTAGATTGTCTAGTAATCATGCCTTTTTCCAATATTGAATTGCTTTTTCATAAAATCATATATCAAATGAGTTTTAGAGCAACTGTTAATAATCTGACGTTATGGATGCTCGCAGTTTTAAAGGAAGTATTTATTGTAAAATAAATTTTATTTATCCTGAAAAGTACTGATAGACTACACAAGAAACTGATGTTATTCTTGAGGCTACCTATCGTGCCATGCTTCCAAATAAGTTTCTAAGTTTGCAATAGATGCGAGGTGCCAGAAAATATCAGTAGATATCATGTTTGTAACAGTTCAGTTAATATTGTGAACAGCTTGTTAGATGCAAATTTACAAAGCAGCAGTTATAGGAAAGAAAATAATGCATAATGTACAAAATTGGTTTAATCACAATACTTTCTACTTAGATGTGTCATGCTCGAAGATCCTGCAAGAAACATCAATTTGGAAATGTTCACACAAGCTGTGCCAATCCCTCCCGAAATTGTAAGACATGTTCAATCTGCTACACCCTCAGACTACAATTTAAGCTGGTCTGGTTTATCTGTTACAATTGGCCAAGCCTTTCAGCACCATATGCCGTGGGTGCAACCTACTGATTGGCATAAGACTCTCACAGGACAATCTCGACAAACAATTATTTATGATGCTGTTGTAACATTGGCTGGCCTTTATCAAGAGAAACTGCCGAAGACAACACCAGGAAGGCCAATATGAAAGATCCCGACTTGATAAAATATTTTTGCATAATGCCATGTCATTCCACGAGCTCATTTTTCTATAAAAAGATGCTAAAAAATGTCTGTAGTTTTAAGGAAAATTAGAGCAAATGAGATCTGTTTATTGCAGAACTTGCAAAGCTTGACATGTGTGGTCAATTTGCCTTATAGCTTGAATAATTGGAATATATATTAGTTAGTCACCTCAGAGTGTGGTCGATTGACCTTCTTTCCAAAGTTTTCATCTGGGATGCTGGAATGAAATAAATACACAAATCTAATCATATTTCGCATGCAAACTTTCAACTATCCTTGTGTTAGAATAAATAGCAAGTTTGCTACATAGAAGGCGCTGTCGCCCTCGCTACCATCAGAGATGTGCAATAACATATATTAAGTGTAGTTGATACCAGCTTATGTTGTTGTTTAGAGAATACTGATATATTTTATGTTGGTGCTGTGTGCTGTCAATCATAATATTGCTGGCTGATAGATGATACATTCTGTATATAAACCCATTTTATTATACATATATCTTTGAACTATAAAGTTACTGTCGACTTTATCGTTTATTGGAAATAAACAAAAAAAATTGATCTTGTGTTTTATATTTTTAATATAAGGTTATTGGGGACGCTGCAGCGTAGTATCAGGGTGTTTCTTGGGGAATGAGAAATGCGACATCTGGGTGGTAGAATTAAACTTTGACAATCTTTCTTTTTGCTGTTGTTGGATATTTGGAGTTTGCGCTTCTGCTTCAATACAGCGCATCTAGTTGCATTTTGTCCACAAACGCATTGGTTAACTAAATGCGTGTCCAGTACATTGACTTTTTTTCCGTATTTAGGGTGGTTCACGTTAGCAAGCGCTAGTCGGTTGCGGGCTTTTCACCATCAATTCCATACATCTGAAACAAATTACTGGTTAACTGATCCAATACCCAACCTGTTCCCGGCGAGAGACCGTAGTACGGTACGCCATATGATTAAGCCGTCTTATCGGATTTCTTACGAGATGAAAATGGATTGGGTAGGATAGGATTTACATATTTATTCCGGGGAGAGGAAAGTGGGTAAGACGGCTTAATCACATGGCGAACCACGGCCTCTCGTCCGGTTCCCAGTCCAGGTCGGGTATGGGATTAGTTAGCCAGGTATTTGTTTTCGGAAGCATCGGCTTGATACCTTATCCCGGGGCAGGGATAAACCCACAGGAATATTGTGACAAGTAGGTAATTTGACGGGATTTTTTGAACCTCTCGGATATGATTATTTCGCAGAGTGATCCCGCTTTTGTTCAGCATTTAAAGGTTACACGATGCGCCAACCACTGTACATATTACCCGAGCAATTCGTCGATCCCTTGTACAATTTTACTTCATACAACGAAAATACATATAAAGTATACCAATAATTCAAAAATACAACAAATTCACCGCCTCGAAATCCACGCCGAACAGTCGCCGCGATTAAGCCACTTGTTTAAAAGAGCCGACTTTTTCAACGAAAAATCATTTTATGACCGATAAGGGCATATTTGAAATGTCCTGCTTTATTAATTTAATTGTCTTCAATTTAACCTGTGGTTGCGTCGACAAAACAAGAGCCACGCTAAAACACCACAGAATTCCGCGGACAAAAAAATGTGTGGTAAACTGCCCGATTACATATTGCTTTGATCCGTATTTCTTCTATTTTGCGAATTCGACAAATTTGAGATGTACTTGTAACACTGAATCCGTTCAATCGCAATAATGCCACTCCGAATATTTTTAAAAACAAAAGCTTTCGAAAAATCTTCAAATCTGCCGTAAATTCTCATGTAAAGTAAAATTTATTTCAGTAGAATGAAAATTGATCGATATACTTCAGATTAATTATCTTATATATCATCACATACCGGGAAAAAAATCGCGTTTCCAACCTTTTTTAATAATGATAACACGAAAATTTTCGACGACAATTTTAAAATAATAGATAAAAAGGCAAATCCCGCCCACAATTAACCGTGTTTCGATTTTAGTGAAGGTGTGTTCCTAAACGGCCACCAAACATAATGTGTGCCGCAGGCACACGAAATTTTGCGACTTTCAATGCCTAGAAAAGCGTTGTTAGCCTGCCGCGGGACCCAACAAAACTCATGTTGCTTACGGTTTTATTTTCAGTATTTTATATTGCGACTTTTCAATCAAAAAATTTAAATAGCGGATTCACTCTTTTATTTGTCTTTGGAACCTCGCCGCCGATGAACGTATAATCATAAGTCTCACCGAATTCACAATTCCGTGCGAGGACAAAAATAAAATAGGTATCATGTTTATCGTGGTACAATTTTGTGATTTAGAGAGAATAAACACCAACGTAAAGGCGTTTACGGCCTAAATAACACGGCGGGTTAACACGCTGATGAAAACAATCGGCGATTTTAGCAGAAGGCAATTACACGCGTTATCGGCGACTTTTTCAGTTTTCAAAAGAATTCAAAAGGGGGGGGGGGGGGAGGCGGTTCGACCCCAAAAACCACCCCCTGGCTGCGCCACTGAATACACCCATTAGAACACAAATCTAAAAAATAGTCACGTGCAATTTTTTTTGTATTTGAAGAGACGCAGATGACGGACTGTCGATAAGAAAAAACAATTTCGGTCAATGAGTATATTAAATGTTCATTGAATAATTAATATATATACTGATTAAATACGACCGGAATTTGTCGTGAAGGAAATTTACTGTAAACACCGAAGTGATAACTTCGAGGTGTATTGGGCTAATCTATATCTCAAATTATGGAAGTAATATGTACATAAAGTCTAAAGTGTGTTTCAATAATACTAAAACGGTACTTGTCAAATACTTGTTTATGTCATAAAATGGTTTTGTCTGGAAATATAGTCTTGTGTTTTCAAACAATAAAAACAATACTGCATATAAAGATGTCACAAATTGATAACTACTTAGTATCCAGTATCTATACTATGTTGGAATTACACTAAGTACAATCCGCCCCTTCCACTTCTTCAGCAATGCTACTCCTTCTTCGTGCGTACATCCGTCCAGGCTTTCACCATTTACTGCGAGAATTCTGTCGCCGCGACGTAACCGACCCTCCGCTGCAGCAGCGCCGTTGCTATAAACGGATTTTACAAAAATTGGAAGATCACCATGTATAGATCCAACTCCCCCTACAACACTGAAGCCAAGCCCATCTTCTCCTTGGTCAAGAATAATTTCTAGTCTCCTTGCCGCTTCCGCCTTGGTCAAAGTCATGTTATAGGTTTTACTAGTTGAAGAAGATTCATCTGAACTTTCTGGATCCGCTACTGAAGATTCGGGGGTTATTTCCAAATTCAGGGATGACGTAATCATACGAGAGACCGTGTTGGATGTCTCTGTCAAATAATTCACCAATTTTAATACGTCATCTTCTCCTCTCCTCACTTTCATCAATAGTATAGAATCAGGAGAAGCAGCTTTGATCATCCAAACAACTTCTTCGTGAGTTTTGTTTTCAGTTGACTGGCCGTTTATACTAAGAATTTTATCCCCAAGTTTCAGCTTTTTCGATGCTGCACCCAATGGCTCTACAGTCACAATGAAAACAGGAACATTTCCCAGAGGCGAATTTAGGCCCCCCGCAATTTTTATTCCTAATTGTGGAGATTTCTTCTCGATTTCCACAAAGCAATCGTTCGGACTGGTATCGAATTCATAACTTCCTCGTTGAAACAAATATGCCTGTTCCAGTTTCAAGCTCTCGCGCTCAATGTCAGCTAGTAGTTTTGCTATTTCGGATCTGTATTCACTTTCTTGTTCCTCGAAACGTCTGAGCCTCCCTATCTGCAGCAGTAAATTTCCTTTGCTAAACTTCAAGAGCTCGACGATGTCGGTTTTGGAATATTCAGTAACATCTTGTTCATTAATTTTCAAAAGCTGATCACCAGGTGTAATCGAGCCTTCGGCAGCAACCAAGCCCTCTGGAAAAACGCTGCTGACATAGATACCTCCGTTGGTTACCTTTTCGTAAATATTTATTCCTAGTTCTTCATTATGTTTTTTATTTAATTTCACCTCAAACGTCAACAAATTTTGTGCTTCCGACATGTCTTTTCTCTGTTCTGGTAACATTTTACCGGAGAAACGTTACGCATTGAATCGCTTAATCATTAACTTTGGCCTGAAGCACAAAGAGTCGGACAGGCTTATAAGCACACAGCCGTAATTCACGCGTCACAGCACATAAGAAATTTTGTGAGAAATATTACAATATTGATCACGCATCACGTGCGGTCGTTTATTCGTTCTCGACTGTGTGGTTAACAGAAAACGAAGGGATGACAGACATATCGTTATTCGACAGTTCGTGAGAAATATATTTATTGACCGTAAAGTTTTAAGGCTTACTAATGAATTATTCATATTGAAAATATAAATTCGAAAATTCATTTTTTCATAATTCCACTTTAATACCTGTGTAGATGTTATAGCCGCAAAATTTACGGTAACATGGTGCTTAGCCCGGATGGGATTCATTTAATATATTGCATTATCGCCGAAGTTCCTCTGCCAGTGATTTTACACCCTGCATCGGTTCGGTGAAACTTATTTAATTGGTTCGCCGAAAGAATACATGCGTGTCATACGTGCTAATGACGAGTCATTTATATTCTCCATTTTCAGTTGCGTTTAGCAATTATTTCGCGCTTAAGGGGGGTCGGGAGGGTGACAAATTCGTGTTGAATTTGGTTGTTGGACAAGTTATATGCTGATGGAAAGGGGATACATATATAGCAGCAATTGCTGCCTGAATGACATCCTCTGCAGACTCCACCATAAGCTACCAATGCCACAATCACCAAAAAAAATTAATTCACTATCTTACCAATTTATTATGTTCAGAGCTCTCAGCAATGCAGAACACTAATATTAACATAAAAGAGAATTTTATCAGCGAAAATTTTTTTATTTACAAATTACTAGTACCTATTCAAAAAATACCCAGTAATTTAAGCATCCAAGTGGAGAACACAACATAATGTGCATAAGAGAAAGGTAAAATAAGGAACTAAATTAGTGAGTGATATAATATCTTTGAAGCAGTTTCATTTCACTCATTCCATAGAGTTATCTTGCTTAATTAATAAAAATATGTAAAGAGAACTTTAAGAACATAATATGTAAGTAAAATCAGGCAACATCTAGAATAATGCAGGAAGTGCTGACAAAACCACCAGATAAGTATTTTAAGTTAAATCGGCTTGAAACTTGAATTCTATTTCAAAGGTTACTTACAGTACAACAGTAACATTGAATTTAGTTATTATAATTAGTAATATTTATTGGAATAACAAAACAATTAAACTCATTTTAGCACAGAAGTGAAGAAACTTTCAAAAGGAATGTAAACACATAATTTTCTAACCAAGTGCATAATTCATTCAGCTTGACTAAGAAAAATTAAATAAATTTACAGAATTACAAATTGGAGACTTTAAAATATAAAGTAAAAATCACATCCACACACATAAAATCCTATATATTTGGTAACATGATAATCTGTAAATTTCCAACATATCAACATAATTCATCAAACAAACTTTTCAGATTCAGAAACCATATCAAAAACAATAATATTTGCATGTATACAGAAGGCATCTACATTAATTCCTTCCATCTATGATAGGGAAGACGAGAACAAGCTTCCTTTATGCAAGGTACTGGAAATCTGGAAGAATCGCAGAAACTTGAAACAGAGTGAAACAACAAGGTGCCAGACATTCTGTGCAATGCCAGATGGAGCAATGAGCAACCGCCACAACAGCAGGAAAGTAATTGAATGGAAGAAATAGCTCAGTATTCGAAGCCTGCAAAAATAATTAAATTTGAAAGAATATTAAAGATAAGAATAAAGAAGCTATATCAAACTAAAATCAAGTATTGCTCCTAATATAATGGAAAGCAAAAATTACAGGTATTTTCCTTATATTTGTACCATGACAAATATAACTTTACCAAATCAGAATGCAACAACCTGAAACTTTTTCTGATAAATACTTTTAAAAGGTTATTCTTGCAATGTGTAACTCCACATTTTCTGTGCTAATGAAACTTACATTCTCAAGTGTCTTCTAGCCGCAGGATAACTTTCAGGATCATCTTTCAAGATATGTTTTCTGGTTCCCATCGTGAAATGTTTCATGTATTCGTGCCAATCAATACATCGGGGATCGAAGTTGAATGTCTGATACAAATAATTGCCCAATTTACCAAACTGGCTGTTATTCAACACATAATTAAACAATATTGCATATCATTTTGTTAACTTCGTTAGTAGTGTAGCTTTTTACAACTTCCACTTTCGCCTCGCATGAATCAAAAATAAAATAAAAATCTAAAGTATGCTTGTATTTTCTCATGAAGTGCATAAGTCAAAACCAAATAAAGCCATATAACAAAAACTGTGCTGCATTTGAACATGTAAACTTTTTCTGTACAAACGCAATTGAATATAAAACATGAAACACAGAATTAAGATACCTCTTTGTCTTCTGGTGACATATTCTGAAGTAACGCCATGGTGTTATCGTTGTCCCATTTGAAAGTGTGATTCAAAAAATATTGTAAAACGTCAAGTGCAGAGTCAACTTTTTGGGTCAATCTTGTCAATCTTTAAGAAAATACTTGCAGTTAGACATTTCCCTAACAATTTAGGTCAACTATTCAACTTGCATTTGGTAAGTAATATTTTGGATACAGTCAATGCTTTTAAAATCCTATAAACAGAGTTACAAATTAAAAATAGGACTAAATATTATAAAAAATATACCTGGGTTTCCTTCCACAAACTCGTAAAGCTATATCAAAGAAATAAGCAGGAACATAGTGGTAGAAAAACATAAGAAATCTTTGTGTGTAACTGTGATAGTAAGAATAAATAATATTAAAACGCTGGATTGGTGGAACAATAAAATAGGTTTAGTAATGAGTAAAACGTGGGTGGGCAATTACTTTTCTGAGTGGCCCAGTTGCAGATTATATTACTTGGTTACTGGGTCGGAGGCTTAAAACTCAATATAAAGAACTATGAATAAAAACAGTTCATTTACAACATCTAGTCCAGTGGTTCCCAACCAGGGTGCCACGGCACATTAGTGTGCCGCAAAAAGATTTTGGTGTGTCGCGAAGAGATTTCATTTTTGAATTTATTTCAAGTGAATCCAATTTCCAATCCCTTGAATTCCACAAGAATTACCCCACGGGCCACTGCTCTTGCTAATGAACCGAAATGACAAATTTGGGGAGTCGTATTTCAGGTATTTGGGTATTGTTTTAATTCTAAGTTTTGCATAATGCGCGCCAACACCGTTTCGTAAAATTCAAAATGTCAAACAAGGTAACTAATTATTGTGCGAAATTTTTCCTAAATTTGACCAAGGAATTAATATTTGATTAGTAGAATTGCCATTACTGCCGATTTATTGCATTATTATTTAAACTCAAAATAACATTTAGAATTCATGCAATGACTTTGCAGTGTTTTTATTCACTATTTAATACGAAAATAAAACAGACACAACAGGAAAGTAAAATCATAAGAAGGTCAACTATCATCTTTATAGATATCCCCATTCCGACGTCAGAAATGATAATATTGTTAGTTTAAAATCGGGACAGTTAATTTACAATCGGTGGGGAGAAAGATCAAAACCGGCGTAAACGATAAAAATCAGAATAAAATCCCGAATTCACTCTTTAATAGCCGTCTTTACCATATGTCACCCATATGAACGCATAGTTCTCCCAGGAATATAAAACCAAATGTTACGTAGGAAGAAGTAGTCCTTGTAAAAAAAGGGAGGACGGGCGGAAATAGCTCACCAACATTAGAATGCCTAGGTTCCTGTACATTTGAACGAACGTGCATTTGAACCCACGACAATTGCACCTGCATATATTGCACATATGGAATTTTTTTTGTTTTGCGGATATTTGAACCCATACTAACCCTAACCCATGGGTTTTAGCACCCGCATATAGATTGAACCTGCAGATATACACATGGGTTCAAATGTACGATCACCGAATGCCTAGCATTCTGAATGCCCGTTGTATGTGTATTAAAAGAACCCGATATTCGGAAATTCGTTGAAAATATTCTAAATATTCGATAAAAATATTCTATTTTGCCCAACCTTGCGATCTGTAATCATGCCAGTAATCTGGCGAAACGCGTGGTAGCATAAACACTGATGCAATGAAACTTAATAATAAAACCTTCAATAAATTTATTAAATTGCAATATTTTACGAAAGCGTGGTGGAATTGACGATTATTTCATATCTCGAACACAGAAACGGTTATTTTTCGGATAGTTTCTGCGGTCTGAAAAGTCGAATAAGCGTTTCAACATAGTAGATGCTGCGATCTTAGCCATCAAATTATGAACAAGCCTTGCACAAAATTCATAACGTGAGAAGATTCGTGCATCTGTGAAAATTGTTTAAAACAACTTTAAACCTATTTAGTGTTTTTAGCGATAATAATTACCGGTAATTGTTATAATGGAATACGGAATTAGGTTGTGCAAAAGCGAGAATACTCGTGGTAATAAATAGGCGTAATGTGGAACTGGGAGCAAGAAAAACCAAAGCGTATTAGCGTCACGTTATACCTGTGGGGCCGCGCATCTTATACAATAATGTGAGGTGCTCCGAAGGTGGCTCTCGTGTACATTATTGTAAGAAAACAGTTATAATATCGGTAACTATTAACCATCCATTTTAAATACAGGGTATGTTGTATTAACAAGAATAGAATTTCCCTCATATTCTGTTCTTCTATGTTTTTTATTATTTTATAGCTAAATGATTTCGAGAGTAGGAAATGTTACTGTTTTGTGATAGGTGTGCCGCGGCATAAAAAAGGTTGGGAACCGCTGATCTAGTCATATATTTTTATTCAATAATAAGAAGTACGGTGTAACAAACTAACAATCAGGGTCATTATGACGTTACTTTCAACATAAATTTATATTCATAAAAACTGTAGTCATAATTTCTACAGGCACAAGTGGGCAGGATGAAACACTATGAAAAGTCTTGCAATCTCTTATATGGAAACTGATCCAGATATAAAACTACAGCTAATTATACAACACAACTTTGCCATTGTAATGCAAACTGCTGCACAGCATGATTCAGTAAACAATAAACTATGGAAAAATTAAACAATTTGTCAAACAACAATGGCTTGATTATGAACCATTTTTGCTTCCAGTCCTAAGTCATGATATGATGCTTTCGAAAATTTTCTAGCATCGAGAAGGGAAATTTATCAGATGTATATTTATTCTTACTCGCTGGTCGTCAAGGTGAATACTGGTTTTCTGAATGCACCGTTGAAAGGATAACTCTCAAACCAATAGAGCATGCTTTTATCTAAAAATATATAGATGTTGTGTATAATTCTTTCTGAATAAAATATGGCACATATTGAAACTTTGAAAGAACAAAACTAACTTACGCCACTCAGTAATGACATTGGGGTTGTATGTACCAGATGTCAAATTATAAATTGGAATATCAGTTCTGAGATTGTTGCCATCACCAGCTGAAAAAATAAAGGAAATTCCTTTTAAAACAATGGACTGAATTGCAATTTTGCAAACATAATAAAATATGGTGAACTTAATAATTGATGCTTCAATGAGAAATATCAATTGATCATCATGTGCACCATTGGAGACATCAAATAAAGGTTTAATCTGTCAAAAACTACTCTATACTCATGTTGTTAGTGGGTTGGCCCATCAACCTTGCCAGTTTGGCTCATAGACTAATATTATATTTGAAAAATGTACAAATCAAACTTACCTGGGTCTGGTTTAACATCATCAATTTGCATTGTCAATCCAGTAGAAGATTTCTTCTGTAAAAATTCAGTTCCTCTCTTCCATCCTGCAGCGATTGCACAATTGACAGTAAAATCAACTGGAATTATGTCTAGCACAAGATTTTCCTGAATTCTCATTGTTTGGAGGATTCCCTTTCCATATGCGACTATCACTCCAGTTGGTCCATTTAGTGTTGTTATCCATCCCTGGATACAAATAAGTATGGTGTAACAATGTTTACATGGTTCCCATGTAATAAATGACCTCCTCCTAATGGGTATATTGGGCTGCCAAATTTGACAGCAGGTTCGATTTTCAAAATAGCTAAACAGGACCTGTACTGCCAATCGAGTGCAATGTTCATGTGAAGATTTGCTCATTTATTAATGTGTTCACAGTTTTCTATCGAAGCATACACTAAAACAAGGTTTCAAAATTAGACAAAAGCCATGACCTCGTCAATTCATGAATCTCAATTCTACAAAAGATAAACAAAAGAGCACTTGATATTTATTACCGCAAATTTAAGCATATTTGCTAATTGGTGCCAAGATAATACATGTATTACATTGTCAAACATTTATTCATTTTGACTTTCGCAACAAGGTGAAAAGGACAAGAGGAGAAAGTAGATAGATAAGACATAAAACAAAATGCCTATAACGTTGACTCAACATGATTGTTCCAAAAACAACTGCATTCGTTATATTAATGTATATATAGGAATCAGAAAATGGCTACTGTTAAATGCTATGAGAAGTATATGGAAATGACTAACAGAGCAGTTGTAGTTTCATGGCATGAAAATATTCCCCTGACACGAAGTCGGTCTCAATATCTATGTGATTAAACAATCACATTCTTACCGGTATTGGATCATTCCATATTGCACCTATAATGCTAGGTCGAAGAATAACAACTGGTAGATCACAGCTTTCTCTGAATATGATCTCTTCTCCAATAGCTTTAGTGAGAGTATATGTATTAGGCCTGAAAATTAATAATCTTTGTTGAGTGAATTTTCCTTCTTAACAGAGTCAAACATATGTCATTCTTAGTCAGTTACATGTACAGAAAAGTTGCAACAAAAATTTTTCCCTCGTTTTTAAAACTCAGCCAATACTGATATTGCGCAATTTTCAACAAGAGAATTCATTTTTTAAATAAATAAATTTCATGCATGTAATATAGATACTAAACAATTGGGGTTTTAGTTATCTTCAACGCTGTGGAATTTCCTTAAACACTATTTACTAAGTAGCCTACCTTGAACCATGACAGAAACTAGATAGTTCACAACAATGAATTTACAAGTGTATTCATTCAGTTGGAAAATTTTTGGTTCAGCCTAATAAACGAGCATATAAACTTTCAACCTCGCAATATAAAATGAAGTTCTATCAAAGAGAAATGGTGTATGGAAAATATTAAAAGGAAAATAGCAGAACACCTTTTCCCGATAATTTCAGGAGTGAGTTTTGTTATCATATCATCATCCATCCAGGAAACTGCATTTTCAATGTCTTCAAACTTCGGATTGGTGTCATAATGTTTTTCACCTATTTCTGTTCTGTCACAGTGTGAATATGCTGAAGGAATACATCACGTTTTACTGGAAATTCTCATCACAATTGCAGCAAAATTGAATATTGATTGAAGGTATTTGAAACAAATTATTAAATACCTGTAGATAGATGGACCAGGCATTCTAAATGCTTCATTTTTTTGCATATACTAATAAGTCTCTTCACAGCAAGTGTGTTCAGTAAAAATGCCAATCTGAAAAAATTTCATTTTGTTGAAATAATAGGGATGTAGTAAAATAATTGAAATAGACTCAATATTATTTTGAAAGTTTACACTTTACAGTAAAGTAGATATCGGCTATAAACAATAATTTATAAAAATTCATGTAAAATTTCTTATGTTCTATAATAACTTTAACTTTGATTTCAAAGGTTTCAATCTCAAAATATAAAAGGTCTCATATTATAGAAATAATATTCTTTGGGATTACAAATCAATACTTGCTTTGCGAGTGTGGAAGGGAGTGGCAAAAGCAAACATACAGTGTCATAAGAATAGCAAACAAAGTCCAATTTTACTTCAAATATGATGGGAATTGTATGAAGAGTTTATGGATATTCATGATAACATGAAATCAATGGCTTCATATGAAAATTTCACTTATTACTTAATCTTTTTTCAGTGACAAATAGGTGGCAAAGTTAAATTGAAAACCTTTTAGTCAGATACTATATGGATAGCTCTGATAAAATTCTACATAATTAAATAAAAATAAACTGTTTTATCTGATCAGAAATATCCTACTGGAACTGGATTGCTGTTATAAGCAATCATACTGTTGTTTACAATGTAAATAATAATTCAGATAACACTGCATACACGAGACGCCAGCTTGATGAGGTGAGACAATATTACGCAATAATCGTTCATACACATATTAATTTATATCAATATTCAAAATATGTTGCAAGAACATGAACATGTTTCTAAATGATGAGCGTATAATATCAGGCAAGCATTAGCAGCCTAAATTTATATTAAATATCACATTGACAAGCTAGTTTGATTTAATTTCAAATATTGCAAAACATTAAATATTGCTAAATCGAATAAGCCAACAGCATATCATTCTTCATACTTACAAAGCTTACCTTAAATGCTCATTAAACCTCAAAGTGGCGGCAGAATGGTAGAATATTTGTACTTCATCGATCAGTATTTGCATCGATTCATCACTGATTCCAAGATTCTCTTTTTCTAAATCACAGTTTATTGCATGGAGTTTTGTCTGAAAATCTGGATTTATTTCTCGAAGTTTATCGAATAGCTGTAATATGAAAACATTGAATTGAATATATTTAATTTTAATTCTTAGATTCTAGATGAGTGATGAAAAAAAATATTGGATATACCTGTATATCATGACAACAGCAATTTCAGCTTTTTATACATGATAAAAAGAATCACCATACTCAAATGGAATCATCATAGTCTGACTTAATATGGAGCAAATATCTATAGGTATACATTAACTTTCCGTAGTTCAGCGTATTGTGTTCTATGCAATATAAAAGAGATGACAATTACCAAATCACATTTGGCCTTTAAAATTGACCACTACGATGCCAACATAATTCACATGAAATTGAAAGTAAAATTATTCATTATACAGATGTCTCTAAAGTTTTTTGAAGAATAAATGAATCATTCTATTGTTATGCCATTTTGATATCATATCTTGACAGAAAGGGTTTCATAATTTAAAAATATTCAACAATCCCATGCATCAAAATTTATTTATTACAAAGTAAACAAACATGTCAGTCTTACCTCTTCTGAAACAAACTTTTGAATTCTTTCTTCACCACTAACACCTTTTCTTGGTCGTACAAGTAAAAATATTTTTTTGATATTTGGACATGATCGAAGAAGCTTTTCTACAAGACATTGTCCTACAAAGCCAGTGCCTCCAGTCAAAGCTAATGTTTTTCCTGCATAGTATTCTTGGATAGATTGGTTGTCCATTACCTGTATATAAAATAAATAGTATATACCGGTAATAGGTTGAATTGTGATAGAAGTGTAAAAAAAACATGCTTATGTGAATAACAGATCACTATTAATAATTGTTATTATTATTTGAGCATTATATTTCAAAGAATTGCATAAATATCAACTTTGCTCATCCTATTTGCCAATTCTTTCATCTAAAAAAAATGGCAAATTGCATATAATAAATAGCTTTGGTAAAGTTGCTCCTGGTCAATTCACAAACTATTACTCTTTTAAAAACATGAACCAAATAATGTTAATGTTAAACTTAATTTTTTTTATAACTATGGTGCAATACCAAATTAAAAAGTTTTAAATTCTAAATACTCGAATATGAAAATTTCAATTTGAAGTTCGTATTGGTGTTTTGACTCATAATTCACTGCAATATCACAACCCCAACATTTTATACTCACGCTCATTGTCTTTCAGAATCTTGGAAATCTCACATGTACAACTGGATTATGTTACTTATGGTACATTGATGAGCTTTACACATTGAAATTGGACTGAAGCAAAGCTTTTAATAAGCTGAAATTAAGCTGGAACACAATTATAAAACAGACAAATGAAAAAAAAACTATGTACAAGTACTTCGGACTTGATGCTATTACATTGGAAACCAACCACAGTTGTTAGATTCCTGGAGCAGCTCCCACATTGAAAGACATCAATTATAATAGTGAGTGCAAATTCCTCTTTTATAAGACAGTCTAGGCCTCCATATCGACAATTTGACACTGCGCAATAAACTAAAAGGAAGTCCAATCTAAAAATGGCACCATTAGAATCCTAACAAAAAATAATCCCCTTAAATGAAGAAAAAATGTTACCATATCATTCGGGAGTTTTTAACAAAAAGCCTAGATAAGAATGGCACGACCTAACGCATCTGCCGCTGTGTCAGATGCCCCCGTTTCAGAGACGAAGGGTGTTTGTCTTACTGAACCAAATGGCGGTAAAACTTGAAATCTGAGAACTGTGCCCTACCAGCCTACTGAATTAAGAAGCATTTATATACTACTGTACTAATTAAGATATTTGGCATATCGTGATAGATAGCAGGGAGTGTCTATTTCAAACGGGATCCCGAATCAAAGTTTTGAATCATGTCAGCATGTGGTGCACAACAATAATTTTAGAAGAAGCAGCTATAATACAATACATTCTCCATTTCAATCAGTCAATTGACATAATTTGTTTCCACAAAGTTCTAAAGAAATGACACTGCATTATGCATATGTTTCCGATAGGCTACGTCAAAATACATAGGGACCTAACTGCCTAAGGCAGTACCGGTAGGGTGGTTAACCCAATTACGGTACCGGTACCGTACTACCAAAGTTACCCTAGCAGACATCTCTCAGCAGACATCTCTCTCGTTTTTGAACGCGCCGATCACTGTTGCCAGAACTCAGATTTCAATTGAGCGATGCGAGAGTTTACGAAAAAGGCATCGATGCAAAATCAGCTGATGCTTTATGTGTTGCCAGATTAACCATAAAAACTGTGAATAATTGCCGAAAAATCACAGTTCTCCCCCAAATATAAGTGTCTCACAAATATATCCGCTTAGTATAAGAAAGACAAGTATAAGTGTTTATAATGGGAAGTAAACACAACGAGTTTGACAAAGATTGGATAGGTGGAAGAGTTACTTATTATCGTTTAAACCTGTCCCAGTCGTCAATTTTTGATAAAATTGGTAAAAAGACCTACTTTGCCCCAAAAAGATGTGTCTTACAATCATGACCCTTTCCATTTATACATAAACAGTAGTAGTACATTTAATAAAGTGTTTATACAACGAGTTTCAAAAAGTTTGTATGGGGGGAAGATATTTTTATTCTCGTTTAAACATGACCCGCTTGACAATTTATGATAGAAATGGCAAAAAGACCTCTTTTGCTCCAAAAAATGAGTGTCTTGCAATTACGAGCCCCACATTTACAAAAGACCAGTAGTAGTACATATAATATAATGTTAATAAAGCGAGTTTGAAAAAGTTTGTATGGGGGGAAAATATTTTTATAATGGCTTAAACATGGCCCGATAATCACTTTTTGATAGAAATGGCAAAATGACCTATTTTGCCCCAAAAAATGAGTGTCTTGCAGTTATGGGCCCCTCATTTACACAAGACCAGTAGTAGTACATATAATAAAGTGTTAATACAGCGAGTTTGAAAAAGTTTGTATGGGGGGATAATATTTTTATAATCGTATAAACATGGCCCGATAGTAAATTTTTGATAAAAAAAATGGCAAAAAGACCTACTTTGCCCCAAAAAATGAGTGTCTTGCAGTTATGGGCCCCACATTTACAAAACACCAGTAGTAGTACATATATTAAAGTGTTAATACAGCGAGTTTGAAAAAGTTTGTATGGGGGGAAGATATTTTTATTATCGCATAAATATGGTCCGATAGTCAATTTATAAGAAAAATGGCAAAAAGATCTCTTTTGCCCCAAAAAATGAGTGCCTTGCAGTTATAGGCCCCACATTTACAAAACACCAGTAGTATTACATATAATAAAGTGTTAATACAGCGAGTTTGAAAAAGTTTGTATGGGGGGAAGATATTTTTATAATCGCTTAAACATGGCCCGATAGTCAATTTTCGATAAAAAATGGCAAAAAGACCTAGTTTCCCCATAAAATGAGTGTCTTGCAATTACGGGCCCCTCATTTACACAAGACCAGTAGTAGTACATATAATAAAGTGCTAATACAGCGAGTTTGAAAAAGTTTGTATGGGGGGATAATATTTTTATAATGGCCCAAACATGACCCGATAGTCAATTTTTGATAGAAATGGCAAAAAGACCTCTTTTGCCCCAAAAAATGAGTGTCTTGCAGTTATGGGCCCCTCATTTACACAAGACCAGTAGTAGTACATATAATAAAGTGCTAATACAGCGAGTTTGAAAAAGTTTGTATGGGGGGAAGATATTTTTATAATCGCATAAACATGGCCCGATAGTCAATTTTTGATAAAAAATGGCAAAAAGACCTAGTTTCCCCATAAAATGAGTGTCTTGCAATTACGGGCCCCTCATTTACACAAGACCAGTAGTAGTACATATAATAAAGTGCTAATACAGCGAGTTTGAAAAAGTTTGTATGGGGGGATAATATTTTTATAATCGTATAAACATGGCCCGATAATAAATTTTTGATAAAAAAAATGGCAAAAAGACCTCTTTTGCCCCAAAAAATGAGTGTCTTGCAGTTATGGGCCCCTCATTTACACAAGACCAGTAGTAGTACATATAATAAAGTGCTAATACAGCGAGTTTGAAAAAGTTTGTATGGGGGGAAGATATTTTTATAATCGCTTAAACATGGCCCGATAGTCAATTTTTGATAAAAAATGGCAAAAAGACCTAGTTTCCCCATAAAATGAGTGTCTTGCAATTACGGGCCCCTCATTTACACAAGACCAGTAGTAGTACATATAATAAAGTGCTAATACAGCGAGTTTGAAAAAGTTTGTATGGGGGGATAATATTTTTATAATGGCCCAAACATGGCCCGATAATCAATTTTTGATAGAAATGGCAAAAAGACCTACTTTGCCCCAAAAAATGAGTGTCTTGCAATTACGGGCCCCTCATTTACACAAGACCAGTAGTAGTACATATAATAAAGTGTTAATACAGCGAGTTTGAAAAAGTTTGTATGGGGGGAAGATATTTTTAAAATCGCTTAAACATGGCCCGATAGTCAATTTTTGATAGAAATGGCAAAAAGACCTCTTTTGCCCCAAAAAATGAGTGTCTTGCAGTTATGGGCCCCTCATTTACACAAGACCAGTAGTAGTACATATAATAAAGTGCTAATACAGCGAGTTTGAAAAAGTTTGTATGGGGGGAAGATATTTTTATAATCGCTTAAACATGGCCCGATAGTCAATTTTTGATAAAAAATGGCAAAAAGACCTAGTTTCCCCATAAAATGAGTGTCTTGCAATTACGGGCCCTTCATTTACACAAGACCAGTAGTAGTACATATAATAAAGTGCTAATACAGCGAGTTTGAAAAAGTTTGTATGGGGGGATAATATTTTTATAATCGTATAAACATGGCCCGATAATAAATTTTTGATAAAAAAATGGCAAAAAGACCTCTTTTGCCCCAAAAAATGAGTGTCTTGCAGTTATGGGCCCCTCATTTACACAAGACCAGTAGTAGTACATATAATAAAGTGCTAATACAGCGAGTTTGAAAAAGTTTGTATGGGGGGAAGATATTTTTATAATCGCTTAAACATGGCCCGATAGTCAATTTTTGATAAAAAATGGCAAAAAGACCTAGTTTCCCCATAAAATGAGTGTCTTGCAATTACGGGCCCCTCATTTACACAAGACCAGTAGTAGTACATATATTAAAGTGCTAATACAGCGAGTTTGAAAAAGTTTGTATGGGGGGATAATATTTTTATAATGGCCCAAACATGGCCCGATAATCAATTTTTGATAGAAATGGCAAAAAGACCTACTTTGCCCCAAAAAATGAGTGTCTTGCAATTACGGGCCCCTCATTTACACAAGACCAGTAGTAGTACATATAATAAAGTGTTAATACAGCGAGTTTGAAAAAGTTTGTATGGGGGGAAGATACTTTAATTATCGTTTAAACATGGCCCGCTAGTCAATTAATGATAGAAATATACTGCTATCAGATACAAATATAAGCAAAAATTGTTCGGATGGCCGCACGGAATGTATCAGTATGACGGCTTTGGACCACCCTGGTCTACCTCATTGAAAAACTCCCGACTTCGCTGACCACTGGATCGTTGAAATGCGATCGCGGAATTGTTCATTAGTCCAATACTTGAAAAGGGGCAAAAAGCGATAGAAAAAGGGTTTCAATCTCGGGATCCCAACCCCATTTGTAATAGCTAAAAAAAACTCAAGAAAGTTCCTCCATTAGATACAAATATACGCTAAAATTGTTGTGTGAGCCGCACAGAATGTATCAGCATGACAGAGTTTGGACCACTCTGGTGTATCTTATTAAAAAAATCCCGACTTCACTGACCACTTGATCGCCGCGTCACATAGTGTAAATAGTTCATTGGTCCAATTGTTGAAGGGCAAAATTTTTTTTTAAAACAAATATGCAGCAACAAGGAGAATACTAGAAAGAAAAAACAACAACAATTTAAGAAAACGACTCATTGGCCCATTTCGTGTCCAGTAAATAAGTTTCAGTGTTTCTTTTTAATTTAGAAGGTTAATAGGATACTTGAAGAGAAGACGAAAAATAAGCAAACATTTTGAAGTTTGAATCGTCTGGTGAACTCGTAATATTTTAATAAACACCGATAAACTATATTAAATACTGTTGCCCCTCTTTGCTTAGTGCCCTAAGCACGTGCTTATATTGTTTATATTGTTTACCCTAACTCAGTTAGTCCACTTTAGGCCGACGGTGACGCGATTTTGGGCAACAACTTAATGAACGCGGAACACAGTTTGGGAAACGCTTTTATATTAGGAGCATTAATCATGCTGAGTTAAGTGACTTGCGGGCCGCACTAACAATAAACTTTATTACCAAGTCGGGGGCTACAAACTATCCTCCCGCGGGCCGCAATTGGCCCGCGAGTTTGAGACCCCTGATTTAATGGGTAATCCAGCGCTGAGGTGTGTGAGGCCATGCCATCTTTCCTAATGGTTATTTGAGTCACATGGTGGCCACGTCATATTTTTTGGAGTTATCATATGTTCCACTTATCAGGCCACGTCATCTTTCTGATTTGGTTACGTAATAAATAATGCATTGCCATAAGAAACCCATGACATTTTACCACATGGTGTTGTAATGTGCCACGTACACGCCACGTCATCTTTCTTGAAGGTATTGTTGCGTAATAATCCATATTACCAGGGTGTTGCATGTGTGAACGTGAGCTCGA